AGGAGCACAGCAATGTAAAGCAATGCCAATTATATTTTTCCTTTGCACAATGTTTTTGGGGATTTGTAGAGGAGACGGAAAATAAATAATGATCGTGCAGTGGATATGTTTTTTTTCTGCTACTAAGCATCTTTTTGTTTTCCTTTCTTTTGATGTGTATGCTTTTTATTTGATCGTTTGTGTTCATCTTCTTGTTTTTTTTTGAGGTTCGTTTTTTTTCTCTTTTTGCTTCTTCTTTTTTTCGTTTCTGTAGTCTCTGTGGCTTTTAGCTTTGTAGTTGTTTTGCCGTAGGGAGAAGTTTCTCTCGACTTTGTTTTATTACTCCACATACTTGGGTGGAGAAGCGAGATTTTTCGTTTTTTTTACTTCGTTTATGTTTTGTGGATCGCATTCAGGCGGCGGACTGGAGTGGAAGAGTACGATGCCCTCCCCGAACGCTCACTGCTTTTTGTCTTCGTGCTTTGCGGGTGCATTGCTAACGGAGTCACGTCGGACTTTCTTGCGGTTTACACATTCCCCCGCCGTGGTTGAAATCCTTTCCGAGAGGCCGGGTGTGGGAGATGACATGGAAGCGTGCGCTCTTTCACTCCATAGCCTTGATGACTTGGCCGGCCTGCTGCAGTGCATTAAGGCTTTCCCGGAAATGCAGGGTTTAAGTTTCCAGGTTCCTCGTTTTCTTCGTGAGACGTTTCTGCAGGCCTTCTTGGAGCCGTTTGGCTCGGAAGCCGCGCCGAATTCATCTTCTGGGGTGGCTACCAAACTTATCGGTTGGCTTCAACTCGTCGTTTGGACTCGGTACTTTGCGGTGTTTTCGATGCGGCGACTGGCAGCTATTCACGATCAAATATCTTGGTACGTCTGGTACTGGTCCTGGGCGGAGATGCACTCCGCAAGGGCCTCTTTCCACCTCTCCTTTGGGAGCCAGTGGTGGTGGAAGGGAGTTTGGCGCAGAGGATGGGTTGGGCAGGTTTTGTTGGTGAAGTCATTTGCCATTGCCCACAAGTCTGCTCTGAACCGCGTTCTACATGGTGTGGTGCGATGTCTGGGGACGATGTACGGTTTCCTGGACCGCATGAATACACTTATTTCCTCCATTGAAGACGTGGCCGCAGGCGAGCGCCTGCTGTCGCCAGAGAGAGACACGAGCACTTCGATAGATCTTGAGGTGAATAATCGTCGTCTTCTTTCAAACCTCCGCGCCACTGTGGTTTCAACTGTTAAATCAATGGCACAGACAATGCGGTCACCGGGCATCGCCGGCCTACTTGATGCGAATTCCAAAGGCATGCCAGAGGATGCACTGGGCTTGGGAGGACACGCGAGTGAATCGGTAATGTATGACTTCCACTTGTACACCCCTTCGTCGGAAGCTCCGAACGATATAGAGATGCGTGCTTCTTTGAAAGAAGTATTTAACCTTCTACTAGACACGGCAGAATTCACAAGGACCTACACAAAAAGCATAAGTGAAGAGATACATGCACGGCATGTACCTCCAAATGGCAGACACTGGAGGCGTATCTTCATCGCTGGCTGTGTTATCGTACCTTCTGTGCTGTGGCTTTCAGCCAACAGTATAACTAACCTCCGGCGGATGCTGGCCTCTGCACGTGTGGTTGGCTACAGTCTGTTTGAGAACTATGTTATTTACCCACTTAAAGAGATCTACCAGAGTTTGACCAGCAGCCGGCCAGGCGTCTTGGAACGACGACGCACCCTTGAAATGGAAATGGAGTCCGTCGCCAACATCATTCGAGACTACCACGAGGATTACTACCCAAATATTTCACAGGAGGAGCTACACCGTCTGCGTGAGCGCACCTTTGAACACCTTCGCTCCGGCGTGATTGCGGATGATGAAGGCTACCGTCTCATTAACGACCATTATGAAAATGCCATTCGACACCCAATTCGAGGCGCCTTCTTTGGAAGCTTGCTGCGGCTGCTGCTCATTCAGCTGAGCTACCAACAGTTGGAGGTGATGCGGGTGGTAAATTCCACCGACGAGGTTTTGGAGGGAAATGATTTGAACTTCAAAATGCTGGCGATGGTGCCTGTGTTTCTCGCGCTGAGTGGTGCGCTACTCGCCTCGTTGCAGAGCCGTCGCGCGAAGCTGCTTCCGGTAAACAACCAGCTGAAACTTTACTGGCGCTCTGTGCACCGCGTCGTGACAATTCCTGAGAATTCCGTTGAGGAGGCCTATCGCTCCCCCTCGGGCGAAGTTGCGTCGTCGGAGCCGTCTAAAGACGAAGAAGTAGTGGAGTTGGAGGAGGCCGTGAGCGTCAGTCACCTTAGCAGCTATGATCAGGGGATGCTTTTGTTGCTGACGCACCACATGCGCAGACTGGCAGTGGAATACCACGCCGGCTATCGCTACCTCGAGGCGTTTCTGGAGGACCTCGACGATCTTGAAAGTGTGCGGTCCACACGACATCAGCGCCTGCTCACGCTTGACCGGATGCGTAGCGTCCACTACTTTCTTCGGTGATGCGCGGGCGAGGGTGAGCGGTGGCACGCATATTTTATTATTGTTATTTAGTTATTTTTTATTTTCCTGGGTACGAGCCGGGGGTTTGGGGGCAAGGGCGGATCCCCCCCTTTATGTGACGTTTCATTGGTTTCTCTCCAGGGCACATAAGTGCAGAGAAGCCTGAGGGCCAACAAGAGACCTTTTCCGGCCCTCCCCGCACCCACACATGCACGCAACAGAGTGCTTCGGATCCCCGCAATTTATAAATTTTCTTCTTCCTCCCGCTCCCTTTTTCGTCTTTGCAGAGCGCAAGGATAATCGCAAGATGCCGCCCCGTAAGGCTAAGAAGTCCACCAGCAAGAAATCCAACACTGCTGCCGTGGAGGTGGCGCGTGTAGCGAAGAAGGAAGCAGAAGTTGCGGCGTTGGTGCAGTGGCTTGAACAGAACGATCCTCTGTATGACCGCTCTGGGGCCCCGCCCATCACCATCAGTGAGTTGCTCTCGACGAAGCTTGCGCACAAGACGTTTTCAGTAGCGGGAAAGGGAGAACAGCCGTACAACTGGGAAAAGTTCCGCGCCATCTTAGAGGCGAGAACGTCTGACAGTCCACGTTGGTTCATGCAACTGCGTGAGGAGGATCTCTTGATCGACGGCGGTTTCGACGGTGTGACGGTGGATTGCGTTGTTGTTGCCGAGGCCAGCGTACCGACCCTTGCCCCGGCCCACTACATTGTAAAGATGCATATGCCTTTCAGTGACTTGGAGGATAATGCCCCAGAACGCATTTTACCCATCGAAGGACAAGGCATGTGCTGGCGTCGCGTGGTGCGTGATAACGGATGCAACATTAACGCCTACTTGCTACAAAAACGAGAAACAACAAGTGGCGCAACCCCTGTTTTTGGTTTTGGGGCAGCGGCCACCTCCACACCCTCCACGGCACCGGCGAATAGCACATCTGTGGCCAATTCTCCCATTGGATTCAGCTTTGCTGCTGTGCCCTCGACAAGCAGCGCTGGGCCATCTAGCTTTGGCTTTGGAGCTGTTGCTGCTGCAACGACTACATCAGCTCCGACGAACAATGCATCAACTGCGACACCCGCCAGCAATTTCCAGTTTGCTTTTGGCGCCGCGCCACCGGCAAACGCCAGTGCCAACAACTTCCGTTTTGGGGCCTCATCAAATGGAACTGCATCTGTGCCAGCCCCGGCCGCTACCGCTGCCGATGCCCCAGTAAGCGGTTTTGTTTCACAGTCGTCTCCAGAAGTGGCCCCACTCAAGGCGAGCGAGGTGCTGTTTGCACTGTGGTCAAAGAAACGTTTGTCTGACATGGCCAAGTCTTTTAAGTCAGGCAGCCGCATTCTGAGAGAGAATTTTAAACCTGGCCCAAAGGCCTTCACTGTAAAACTTGTGATGCAGAACGACCTCAAGGACGATGTTTGCAAGACTGTGAGGGAGCTAATCCTTAACAAAATGTTTGCCAAACGCAGCAAACAGATTTTGGAGGTTGACCATTGGATTGGCAACTGCCCCGTGTACGATGAACATTTGACTGCTGCCTTGCAAAAGTTCCGCGCCCACCACGTGCAAAGAGTCGCCGAAAGCTCCGAGGAGTTTCAGGCTTTATACGACGAATGCCACGAAGCGATGGAGGCGGAGTTAAATCGCATTGTGGAACTGCGCAAGGTGCTGGTGCAGCAGGAGTTGGAGCGCATCGAGGAGATCACGAGCCAGCTGAAGGAGGGAAAGTTAGCGGAGAAGCAGACATTCCGGCTCCTGAAATATTACGCTGCGAATGATGTCATGCGTTTTCGGCCGTTTGGTAAAGTAAGCGGCATCTCAGAGATGGGGGAGAGCGCGGACGTGTGCGAGCCGCCGGCGCCGGTCCTCTTGAACCCCTTCACGGCCTCAGGATCCGTCGCCCCCGCGTGACGCGGCGGCGCGACGGAGGGAGAGAGCGTGTGGGCGGCCGCACACCACGCCAGCGGCCGGTGGGAGCGTTGGGGTAGAGACAGCGAGGGGGCGGGTGGCACGCCGCAAGGCTTGTGGCGGCCTCAACGAATGCCAGGCGGCCCTGCCCTCTTCCGGACCCTCTAAAGCCGGTCGGCCAACGCAAGGAGGTCCATTGGAGGCAATTGGGGGATATCGTGATCTCCAAAAGGAAAAGAAAAGGAAAGGGGGAAAAAACCAAAAAAAAACAAGCCGATGAAAAAGACACGTGGGACGCGGAAAAAGACGCACGAATAAGAAGAGAACAAGCTTCTCACTGTGCATGAGTCTGTGGGAGGCCCTCATTCTGTGACAGCTTCTGCTGTCCCAGTTTCCCGTCAACTCGATTTTGTTTTTACTCTCTCCTTTTTATATCGGATGCAGTCATGAGCTCCATGGCATTTGATGGCTCAGTGAAGCCTTCGCGGGTGGGGCACACAGCGGGCATTGGCGCCTGTGCCCAGAACTTGTGCAAGGCGGTGGGAGAGCAAGGCAAGGAGGACAACTGCGAAAGAAAGGCAAGAAGATCAAACAGCGGCTAAAAAAAAAAGGAGGAGCGGGGGGAAGAAGGAGGGTGTTGCTGCGTGCGAGAAGAATAAGGCTAAATGAAATAGCAAATAAAATGAAAAAAAAAACAACGCATGTGGGGGGGGGGAACCAACATAGGGAGCTCAATTCATGCGTAGACACGTAAGTGCATCTAGGGCAACTCCTTGATTGGTAGAATCTAAAAGGTTTTGCTGCCAAGGAAGGAATGAAACAGAGGCAAAAAACACAAAGGCCAAACGAGTGAGCTGTCCTGCTTGCGAGTGTCTGTGGCTTTTGCGACGTTCCGACTCGTGGAGCGTGTAAGAGGAGACAAGTCCATTTTGGATTTTCTTCGCGCTACGACAGCTTGTTTTTGTTGTTGTTGCTTTTTCCTTAAATTTTTCTGTGGGGGTGCAGCGAATAGCGATGGGGCAGAAGGAAAGCAAAGTAGACAGCGCGTTGGCAGGCATCTGTGGCCTTCAAGTTGCGCGCGTGTTGCCGCGCAGCCCCGCTCATAACGCGGGCCTAGTTCCTTTTTTTGATATTATCACCGCCATTGACGATGCTCTTTTTGCAAACGGCGCGGATGCCGTGATGCAGTTCAGGTCTCGTGTGTCACAGCGAGTAAATCAGCAGTTGAGCTTGAGGGTGTACAATTTGCATGTGCGCGCCTACAGAGAGGTGGTGTGCACTCCTTCCTCTTCCTGGGGCGGCACCGGGCTGTTGGGATGCAGTATAGAGTGGTGCCGCGCGGAAGAGTGCGGCGAGCGCAGCTGGCACATTGTGGACGTTCTCCCTGGGACTCCGGCAGCCCTTTGCGAGGAGATTGATGCGGGGCGGGACTACATCATTGGTATGCAGCGAGCAGAGGAGCCAGTGGTCACACTTCTAAAGGATGAGGACGACTTCCACGGGAGGGTGGAGCTGTGGCGCAGTCTTCAGCGAGTGATGCTCCAACGTCTGGCTCGCAACTCAAAGAGCCTTCCCCAAGGGGCCGACGGCACAGCCGCAGTGGGTGCCAACATTGGCAGGCTGATACTTCTCATATACAACTCTGCGACGAATGAGGTCAAGGAGGTAGCGGTGGATTTAGGTCCCGAGGTGGATGCGCCGTTGGGACTAGACTTAGCGGCGGGGCTGTTGCACTCGCTACTCGTCTCCTCCCCAACTGAGGGATGCAAAAACATCAGCGACGGCAATGGCGGCGCGGAGAGCAACAACACGGATAACGGAACTTCGAGCACAAACAGGAAGGGTGAACTGCCACGCATGACGACTTTCTTGCTACCTTCGGGAGAGACACAGAGGTGCCTGCCGATGGCGCCGTCAGAAACGCTTCCAGTAGTGAGTAAGGGGCGGGACCCCCGTGCCGAGCCAGCGACGCCTTTGCCAGCGCAACCGCTGGCGCCGCCTCCTGCAGCGCACACAACGCCGGTGCAACCTGCCCTTCATAGCCTTCCAATGCCTCCGCCTAAGCCGGTCGCGGAAAAAGAGAGGGAGACGCAGGGGCAAGATTATTTCATGGCACCGTATGCCGTGGGAATGAAGGCTGCCATGCCGGCAGAAGCGAAGACGGAAGTCGGTGTGTCGAGTGGTCTGCCCGTTACTCCTTTGGGGCGCCCTACGATCCCAGTCATTTCCCGGAGTCGTCCCACAGCTGCTGTTGGTAATGGTGTTGAGGGAGTGCCACATGCGCACGTAGGCCCAGAGACCGTGGCGGCTCAAGCGCCGCTGCCAGTCACGAAGCAAAAAGAGCACAAGCTAGCAATGCAGGAAGGCAAAGAGCCACCAATTATAAACCCTAGCAGCTTGCAGTGCAGCGGACCCGTTGCTGACGTCGTTTCGACGTCTAATGCATCGCTTACTGCCGACACAACTCTGCATCCGCCGCAGCTTCCCGCGTTTCCCAAACTTCCGCCGCCACTACATTTTCCAATCATACGTCCAGCGTCACCTACGGGAAAGAAATAATCACGGGAGTAGTGGGGTGGAGAGAAATTTTT